ACAGTACAGTAGAACAACGTCTGACCACTGACAGTACAGTAGAACAATGTCTGACACGTCTGACCACTGACAGTACAGTAGAACAACGTCTGACACGTCTGACCACTGACAGTACAGTAGAACAATGTCTGACACGTCTGACCACTGACAGTACAGTAGAACAATGTCTGACCACTGACAGTACAGTAGAACAATGTCTGACCACTGACAGTACAGTAGAACAACGTCTGACCACTGACAGTACAGTAGAACAACGTCTGACCACTGACAGTACAGTAGAACAACGTCTGACACGTCTGACCACTGACAGTACAGTAGAACAATGTCTGACACGTCTGACCACTGACAGTACAGTAGAACAACGTCTGACCACTGACAGTACAGTAGAACAATGTCTGACACGTCTGACCACTGACAGTACAGTAGAACAACGTCTGACCACTGACAGTACAGCCAAGTTCCCAGCCGGGAAAAAGAACCATCTCATATTTACTATAAACAACAAGGTTTTTTTAAAAACTTCCAACATTTCCATTTTCAGAAAAAAGGCAAATGGCGCCAGATACACAGATTGGTTCACAGAGAAAATGTCTGAATCAGAAGATACAAGACTGGAGAGCTCTTGGCCCTCAATAGTCCAAAGTTCTGTATACACATTCAACAGTCCAAAGTTCTGAGTACATTCAACAGTCCAAAGTTCTGAGTACATTCAACAGTCCAAAGTTCTGTGTACATTCAACAGTCCAAAGTTCTGTGTACATTCAACAGTCCAAAGTTCTGTGTACATTCAATAGTCCAAAGTTCTGAGTACATTCAACAGTCCAAAGTTCTGTGTACATTCAACAGTCCAAAGTTCTGTGTACATTCAATAGTCCAAAGTTCTGAGTACATTCAACAGTCCAAAGTTCTGTGTACATTCAATAGTCCAAAGTTCTGTGTACATTCAACAGTCCAAAGTTCTGTGTACATTCAACAGTCCAAAGTTCTGTGTACATTCAATAGTCCAAAGTTCTGTGTACATTCAACAGTCCAAAGTTCTGTGTACATTCAACAGTCCAAAGTTCTGTGTACATTCAATAGTCCAAAGTTCTGTGTACATTCAATAGTCCAAAGTTCTGAGTACATTCAACAGTCCAAAGTTCTGTGTACATTCAACAGTCCAAAGTTCTGTGTACATTCAATAGTCCAAAGTTCTGAGTACATTCAATAGTCCAAAGTTCTGAGTACATTCAATAGTCCAAAGTTCTGTGTACATTCAACAGTCCAAAGTTCTGTGTACATTCAATAGTCCAAAGTTCTGTGTACATTCAATAGTCCAAAGTTCTGTGTACATTCAATAGTCCAAAGTTCTGAGTACATTCAATAGTCCAAAGTTCTGTGTACATGAGTCATGATGAGTGCCACAAACAACCAGAAAGTGTAGGTCTACATGATGCTAAGAATATTCTTGTTGAAAAGTTTCACATTTTGTTACGGCACTGAATCGTGTCCGTGGGAAAAGTTTCTTTCATAAAAGCAGAACTGAGTCAATATAAGTAGGTAGATTACCGTAAACCCAAACTGGATCTGTACGTAGATTACCGTAAACCCAAACTGTATCTGTGCGTACATATATATATGTACGTAGATTACCGTAAACCCAAACTGGATCTGTGCGTACATATATAAGTAGGTAGATTACCGTAAACCCAAACTGTATCTGTGCGTACATATATATGTACGTAGATTACTGTAAACTCAAACTATCACTGCGTATATATAATATGTATGTAAATTACTGTGAACCCAAGCGAACTATCACTGCATACATATATGTTACGTAGATTACCATAAACCCAAACTATAGTGCAGTAAAAAACTTGTGGCGCAACTTATTGTCCAATATCTCCTCAACTATCCAACATAGCAACTTGTTGTCAAATATCTCCTCAACTATCCAACATAGCAACTTATTGTCCAATATCTCCTCAACTATCCAACATAGCAACTTGTTGTCAAATATCTCCTCAACTATCCAACATAGCAACTTATTGTCAAATATCTCCTCAACTTTCCAACATAGCAACTTATTGTCAAATATCTCCTCAACTATCCAACATAGCAACTTGTTGTCAAATATCTCCTCAACTATCCAACATAGCAACTTGTTGTCAAATATCTCCTCAACTATCCAACATAGCAACTTATTGTCCAATATCTCCTCAACTATCCAACATAGCAACTTGTTGTCAAATATCTCCTCAACTTTCCAACATAGCAACTTGTTGTCCAATATCTCCTCAACTATCCAACATAGCAACTTGTTGTCCAATATCTCCTCAACTATCCAACATAGCAACTTGTTGTCAAATATCTCCTCAACTATCCAACATAGCAACTTGTTGTCCAATATCTCCTCAACTATCCAACATAGCAACTTGTTGTCCAATATCTCCTCAACTATCCAACATAGCAACTTGTTGTCAAATATCTCCTCAACTATCCAACATAGCAACTTATTGTCCAATATCTCCTCAACTATCCAACATAGCAACTTATTGTCAAATATCTCCTCAACTATCCAACATAAACTCTCCATCTTTTGCACACTGACTTGTATCAATTTGTCTTACCAGATCAGTATTTTCATAAACACCTGTAGGCTCTGTTCTAGAAAATTCCGTAATAAATACTAATAAAAAATCCCAGAGGGTGGTTACTACTGATTTTAAAAGGTTTACAGCTGGGACGATATTGCTTTTAAAAGCAAGTCCGTCATTTGTTTTAAATCGCGAGATAATTGATAAGATATGATAAGATAAGATAATACTTTATTATCCCAGAGGGAAATGTTTCTTGGCTGTACAGGACGTATAAACACATGCAGGTATTTCAGGTACACATAAAACATGTACATTATATATTACTATCTGGATCGATAACAACAACAACAACATAATATTACTATATATATATATATATATTATATTACTCTCATTACAATTCTATATGAAAGGAGAAGTAAAGCTGACAAAATGTACATATCACATCAGATGCATCATTCAACCATATGCAGGAATTTATGTACAAGACCTTTGGAGTTATATAGAGGCCTACATACTCTGAGAGCGACACACATCTATGCTCATTCTGAAAAAAGCCTTATGCTAGATGGTAAAAAACTTCTTTTATATCTTTCTTATCTTTGTTTTTGGAGGTACATATCTGCCGCTGCGTGATCTGACAATTTGTGTGGAAAAGGGGTGTGATGGGTCGTTTATAATGCTTTTTCTCTTTTTTATACATGTGGTTTTGAGAACTTTAGTGCACAAGAGTGTTCACTCAAAGATAAATTTCTTGTAACTAGTTAAGCCACTACAATGTGTCATTGGCGAGCTGTGACGTAGGCCACGTGTGAATACAAAATGTGTGTGAGAAGCAGGAAGTGCTGTGAACAATTCTATATTCCGCGGGAAGGAGATTTGTAGTATTTTATATAAATTTATGAAGAAAAGTTTTTTAGTCTAGCCTCAATTGTTGTGGAAAAATATGGTTAAGACAAATTGATACAAACTGTTGTGCTAAGTAGGGAAGACATTGATTCCCCCGTTATAAAGATATTTGAGGATAAGTTGTGTCACAAATTTTTGACAGCACTATAACTATCACTGCGTACATGTACAACACTGTGAACCCAAACCAACTATCATGGCGTACATATATATGAAGGTAGATTACCGTAAACCCAAACTATCACTGCATACATATCGCACCCTCAGTACTTTCTTGTCCAACCACCAAAACCCCTATATATAGATATAGAGTACATTTTAGCGATAGGCAAATGACATGAAGAAGAAATCAACAGCACAAGACTTCTGAGAGAATCCACATATCTTTGATCCCTGACAGAAAAGTGTTGCTGTGCACCCACTGGTTTTTTTCTTGCTCTCCGGAATGGCGGCGCTCCCACCAAGTTGGACACTCGTGACGTCACAGCAAACACCTCTAGTTCTATTTATAACCTCTTTGCTGTAAACCCAAACTAATATACAAATATGCGTACGTAGATTACCGTAAACCTCAACAAACTATCAGTGCATACGTGTATGAGTCATGACACTGTGCAATCAGGTGCGAACACACTGCTCGACTCTGCCACCAACCATAGAATGCTATATACATGCCCCAAATGCACCTAGTACTAGTAGTACTACTATATCCTACTAGTAAAGCATCTATTCCTCATCTTCCAGCACAGCTCAACATTCTGAGTAGTGCACTGTCTTTTGTTGTTGTAAACATACAATATAACATACTAGTAATAGCCTACTACTATATCCTACTAGTAAAGCATCTATTCCGCATCTAGCAAACCTGACAAGCCTGGAAACGAGAGACTGGATATAAGGTCGCTTTTAAGCACAAGGTGGCTATCCCGAAAATGCTGTTTTGAGAAAATCGAAGGTAAAGTTTTTGCCCCTCGCTCAGTTTCTTTAAAATACAAAGAGAGTTTTCTCTATAACCAAACAAATACACACACCAATGAAACCAAACTTCTCCTATAGGTAGGGCAATGCCCACTTTTGATGGAGGTCAAGATTTCTGGAAACCCCCGAAATGTGGGTTAGCTCGCTTGTCCTTAAAAGTGATCATGTATACAGTGTATATATATATATATATATATATAACAGATGAAGCTGGCTGGACACCAGACTAAGGCATCAAGGAGGTCACAAAAATAACAGAACACTGGGAGAGCTACGCACATACCACTGGCCACTTTCTCCTTCACCCCGATCACTCACAATCACTGACACCCGTCCCAATCTTGCTCGTATGCAGAGACACACAGCACAATCTGGCCACATCTC